TTTTCCCCCCAAAGCCCCAGTAGATAGTTGTATGTCATAGCTGCACATCCTTCTAGTTGCTGTATGTGGGACGTGGCCTCAGCATGGCCGGAGAAAGCAGTGTGTCGGTGCACGCCCAGGATCCAAACCCGGTCCGCCAGCAGCGGAGCGCACGCACCTAACCGCTAAGCCACGGGGCCGGCCCTCTACATGTATTTTCTCACTGAATCCTCACAATGCCATGTGATCGATTCCACTAGTCTCACCATTTTACAGATAGGAAATTGGAACTTGGAGAGTTGAAGTGACTTGGCCAAGGACACATAATTGATAGAAAATTTAAACCCAGGTTAGTCTGACTGCCAAGCCCTATGTTTAACCAGGATTCCCTACTGACATAAACCAAACCTGAGTGAAAAGAACAGGTGTTCTCCAAGAGTATGTTCTTTGTTCTACTAGCTTGATTTCCCCCTCAGTAATTTCATCCATTCTCCCAGGTACATGTCTCTTGTGTGAAAAGTAAGTGGTACCTAGTAGGGCCTCAAAGTATGGACCGCATTATCTTGCTCACAGCTGGCAAAAGATTTCAAATGTATGTCCCTGGAGGGCAGAGTCAGTGACTTACTCTGGAGCCCCCAGTGCTCAGGCTAGGGCCTAGTATACTACAGGGACTCCGCCAAACTGGCTGGATCCTAAATCTGGCCTTTACCTCGTGTTCCACTTTCTATTTGCTTGATGAAAAGTTGCATAGAACTGTTCGGCCCACATTTTAAACTCAATTTGTCCAAAACAGTTCAAAAGCTACTTACTTTCTAAGCTAGAGTGTTGAGAAGCAGACAGGATCCAAGCATGGAAAGAGTGACCCATCTATTACTCTTCTTTCTTGTACCACTGTCCACATCTGCTATAGCATTTATCTCACTCCTTACTGGATTGTAAACTCCTCCAGGGAAGGGACCATGTTTGTGGGTACTACAGTATCTAGCACTGTTCTTCACATAGACAGTTAAGATAATGAGCAACTACTTATGGCAGGTACTGTGCTAAGCACTTGACATATTTTATCTCAGTGTATCTTCACCAACCAGCATCACCATTCCAAATGCCCAGGTTCAAAAACCTGAAGTTATCCTCTGCTCCCTCTCTTAAGCTAGTAATCTGCCCAGGTTTGTCTAACTCTTAACCAGAATGCTCTATTAACTCCCTATATATGAGTAAGATAATCCATGTAGAATACATATACCTAATATAAGTGCTAAATGAATGTTAAGTATGATTTTTATTATATACATCATCACTTCCATTTCCTCTCTTGTCATATCTGGGCAGCTAGCAAAAATTAAGAATATTACCAGAAAGGCAAAAGGTACAAAAAATACCAACTTGGTTTATTGGATAAAAACAGTGGTAAAATGGACATAAAGCCAAAAGTCAGAACAGGACATTTTCACATCCTCTCCCAACTCAAAACCGCACTTCTCATCATCTGGGCTCAAGGTGTTAGGGAGCCAGAGGCCCCTAAAATCCCTCAATCTTCACCTGCACCGGAAGTAAGGCCTGCAGTTGGACCCAGGAAAGGAGGAAGTCAGAGGCAACCTCAGTCCTGTCTACTCCTCAGCCCTCAAAGTCCCTGGGTTGGAGGGAAGCAGGGAAGGAATAAGGGGGTCAGAGGGGCTGGTATTGGCTTGTAGGGCCCACTGCTTAAGATGTCCTAGAGACAGCTATCCTTGTCCCCACCCAATCCTTAATAGGTACCATTGTCAGGCCTTGGGAAGGAGAGGAAAGGGGATAGTTGGTTTGAGAACCAGATGTGGTCTCCAAACCCTCCCCTAGCATTGGTAAAAACCCAGAAGGTGACCGGTCCAGGGCTAGGGGAGCCACACCTTTTCCCTCCCACCCAATCAAGAGGTAAAAAGGAATTCCTTGGGATACAGCAAGCCTAGCCGCTCTTAAATCTCCACGTCGCTTTCCTTGTCGTTGTCATGGTCTCCATCATAGAACTCATTGGGTGCCTCTGGCCTGCAAAGCAAGGGGAGAGAGGTCAGGGTCCCACTCTCCAAGTTCCAATCTTCTCCCACATAGGCACCCTCTCTGGAGCCATTTCTCAGGCCCCCTTTGTCAGAGAACCACTCTTCTCCTTCTGTTGGTAGAGACTGATCACCAGTCATTCATCCATTCATATAGTCAATACCCATTTATTGAGAGACTGCTCTGTGCCAGACACTGTCACAAGCCCTAGCAATACAGTAGAGAATAAGTCAGACAAAATTTCTGCCTATCTCAAAAAACGTACCTAATAAATGAGACTGACAATAACCAACAAAGTAAACAAATAAACATGATAACTTCAGATGGTGGAAAGTGCTATGAATAAAACGAAATAAAGCGATGTGACTGAGAGTGATGGGAGGAAAAGGGTAAAACTTCAGACAAGATTATTAGGGAAGGCTGTTCTAAGAAGGTAAGACCTGAAGTCTGAGAAGGAACTGGCCAGGCAAAGATCTCAGGAAGACCATTCCAAGCTGCAAGAAAACCAAGTACAGAGGTTGTAAGGTGGAAGGAGATTGATGTATTCCAGTAAGAGCAAGGAGACCAGGATGGCTGGGAGTAGTGTGCATGGAGCAGAGTAGTCAGAGATGAGACCAGGGATGTAGGTATGGGCCAGCATGCAGGGCCTTTGAAAGCCATGGTCAGAAATCTGGATTTTCTTCTAAGTGCAATTAGAAGGGAAGCTTCAGGGCCGGCCCCGTGGCTTAGCGGTTATGTGCGTGCACTACGCTACTGGCAGCCAGGGTTGGGATCCCGGGCGCGCACCCAAACACCGCTTCTCCAGCCACGCTGAGGCCGCGTCCCACATACAGCAACTAGAAGGATGTGCAACTATGACATAACAACTATCTACTGGGGCTTTGGGGGAAAAAAAAGGAGGAGGATTGGCAATAGATGTTAGCTCAGAGCCAGTCTTCCTCAGCAAAAAGAGGAGGATTAGCACGGATGTTAGCTCAGGGCTGATCTTCCTCACAAAAAAAAAAAAAAAAAGGGAAGCTTCGAGCAGAGGAATGACATGATATTATAAACCTGTAGTGGGTGAAGGGATGTGAAAGCAACACAATAAGGGTCCAATAAGTATTCAATACTGGTTCCTTTCTTTTTGGAAAACTATTCTCTGGGAGAATATGAATAACTCATAACTGAACTTTCTTGCCCACAGCTGATAACTGAGAAAGAAGGGAGAAAGTCATCAAAGAGAAGTTGGGGAACTAAGTCAGGAAAGGCCTTCTCTGCCTGGTAAGCAATGTCTCAGTTACCTCTGCACAAGGGTTAAAGGTGTGGAGTCAGAGACTCAGGTTTGAATCTCAGCCTTGATATTTAACTAGCTGTGGGACCTTGGAAAGTTATTTAACCTCTCTGAGCCTTAGATTCCTCTTCTGGTAATTTAAGGATAACAGCCACCTCTTAGGGTTGTCTGACGGCAACAGAATGATGACAGGATGATATGTATGTTTTAATATAAAGCACTTAGCATTGAGTCTGGTGCTTAGCAAACCCACAGAAAGTGGTAGCTCATTATTACTACTCTGCAAATGATATGCAAGCTGGAGCTATAAACATCAAAGAACAGGAACTCAGTGGGTGGTCTGACAGTGAGGTAAGGCTTAGGACAGGAAGAGGACTGAGGCTTCTGCTGGCTGTTGAGAGGGGGTGGTATAATGCAGAGACTAGGCCCAGATCCCAGCCTAGTCTGGAACTATAGGTGAAAAATCTATAGCCTGGAACTATAGATGAAAAAGCCCAACTTTACCAAAAGGAAGAGCTTAAAAACAAGTTTTTACCTGTTTTTATGACAAAGAAAATCTATTTCCAAAGTCAAGCCTCAGAGACCTAGAGAAGTTGAGAAGGAGATGATGGGTCAAAAAGGAATCCCTGAGGCCAGATGTTCAGGTACCTCCTCAACCAGGAGTGGGAATAAGGGGGTATTCATGGAGGAAGAAGGTTA